GTCTAACTGAAAAATTGTGCTCTACACTGGAATTTGACACAACATTGTAAAATGACTATAACTCAATAAAAAAATGTTAAAAAAAACCCCAAAACCAAATTTATGTTATTGATTTTGAGATGAATGAGGGTTTTTCCCTGTGATTAAAAAACATATATGCTATTTTTTTCTTAAAGCCTAAATTATTTCCAAAAATAGTGTTTGAAAGATAAAAATGTATAATGACTTGCACTGAATATTTGAAATTTGTTGAGGATAGCAAAAGCCAAGCAAAGTTTCTAATTTTTATTTTTAAGTTGAAAACTCAGTAGTGAATGCTTCAAGGTGAGCAGCCAATCAACTGATTATCAAGCAAAATGATAATTTAATTTAATGATGTTATATGCTTTCTACAGGTTTTATTGAAAACTACAGCTGGAGAGATTGATATAGAGTTGTGGCCAAAAGAAACTCCTAAAGCTTGCAGAAATTTCATTCAGCTTTGTTTGGAAGGTAATTATAATTCTTGAGTTTTATTCTGTAGAAGAACTTTTGTTAATTTAAAGATAAACTGCAGCATATTTTTCCACGATGTTGCAAACTAGTGTTAAATGGTGGTAATGAATGATGAGAGTTGATATGACTGATAAGGTCTGGAGCTATGTGCAAGGAAATGGAGAGAGGAGATAAAAAGTCCCCCCCAATAAATCTTTATATCTTTAATAGAGAAATTTATCTCATCAAATAATTCTTTGATCCTTTTTGGTTTCTTTGGTCATTTTTCACTTCGTTCCTTCATTCTCTAAATGTGGGCATCCCTAAGATTGCCTCTAGTTGTCTGTTGTCTTTATGCTTCAGGTGTTACTTCCATCCAAATGGCTAGCAAATTTAGAATTCCAGCCATTTTGTCTCACCTGAGGTCTAATTTACAGATCTGATTGCCTAGTGGACTTTTTTACTCAAGTTTTCCACTATCAGCTGAAACTAAACTAGTGTAAAACCAAATTTGCCAGTTTCTTCACCAGACTGCTTTGAATTTCAGCTGTGTGATTGTGATTGCCTTTTACCCCATCTTCCTTTCTCTCATTTTTAATCACTTTACCCTGACAGTTATTCACCTGGTAGTTGAATCCTCAGGCAGCTTAGCTTCCTAGCTTTCCAATTTTATTTTTTATCGTACTAAATAACTATGTGCCTTCAGTTGGTTATAATCTTTACTGCCTAAGCAGTTCCTTCCCATTTCCACTCATACCTCCTTCATATCCCGAATCTTCTCATATCCTCACTTGCCTTTTTGGACTACTTTCTCTTCCTTTCTGTACTGTTCAAGTCAACTCACTTTTTAATGTTGTTTGAAATTCTACTTTCTCCATGAAGCCTTCCATGCAGCATTCAGTGATGTTATTATCAATGTCAATAATGATTCTTATATTTGAGATGTAAAATAATTGTTTTTCTTTCTAACGAACTTTACAGAATTACATCTACTTGAGTGTTTTCCCCTTCAAAATATTCTTTCATTCTATAGAATGTTATTTATTTATTTTATATTCCTATGTAGATAATTTATTCTATATTGCTATATTCTATGGAATTAAATGTTCTAAACATTGTAGCTTGTTGACTTTCAGAATATACTGCATATTGTTTCAGATATCTCCAGTGTTGGCAAATCATCGTCCTTCTAAATTATATCTGATTTTTAGTGATAGGCAGAGTTAATCAAGATATTAGAAAACAGCATTTTGAGTCAAAAGCAAAATGTGAAGGAGAGCACAAAATAACCTGTATTAGGGTACAGTGAGAGCTCCCCAAATAGATAGTTAGACAAATAGATAAATTACCAGGGGAAGACTTAAGAAATAAAAATACCTATACCAAAAAACAAAAACAAACCCTTCAAAACAAAACAAAAAACCCCCAAACTGACTAGAAAGAAAAAGAGAAAAGAAGGCATCTGTAAAGACCATTATTAATAATTGCTATGGCAGGCAGGAAGGAAGTTGAGTCAGACAGGTAGTTCAGGCAGAGAAGCCTCAAGTAACTGTCAACAGAGCCGTGAAACACAGTAGACACAGAAAAGCCAGACTGTTTCTGGAAAGAAGTTTTGAAGAATCAATAGCTCAAATTTTACAGAAGAATGAAAGTATAAAAACATAGAAAGAATAAATGGTAAATTATAATCCATGACCAGGTGAATGGAAGAAACAGAAAACATCTGGATATAATATGACACTGAAGAAGAAATAAGGTTCTTAAGTTAAGTGATGATGAAGCTTAATTACAACATCAAAAAAAAACATTTCCCTATTTCTGAGAATATAAGGAGAAAGGAAAAAGAATAGAAAAATAATAGAAAAATAACTGAGCAAGTCTCTTAATTGAACAGGTAAGAAATAGTATTGTGAAGGCTAACAAGATGCTTGAGAAGACTCTAAGTTAAATTAAGATGCTCCTAAATGAATAAAGTCAAGGTTTTAAAAATTTAATTTAGAGAACCTCATTCTAATTCACTGATTATATGATTTAAACAAGTCATAATATTTTTAGATCTTTTAATATTCATATTTTTTAAAGGTACAATTTCCAAAATTAAAAAGCAAATGAATAAAAATGAGCCAATGGGAGCACAGCCTCAGATACAGCTCTCACTTAAAATGGTGTTCACAGTTAAAGGGAGGTTCTTAGTCATTTTTTTCCAGCTTTATTGGGATATGACTGACAAAAATTGTATATAGACAATGTCATTTTTAAAAGATTTTTAAAAGGTGTACAATGTGATGATTAAATATACATTGTAAAATGATTACCGCAATCACCGTTCAGTAACAAATCCATCCCATCACACAGCTACCTTTTTGTGTGTGTGTATGTGGTGAGAACATGATCTACAAATGTCTAGTATACAGTACAGTATTATTACTATAATCTCCATGCTGTATGTTCAGTCTTCAGCATTCATTCATCTTATAAGTGATAATTTGTATCTTTTTGACCATTTTCCCAATTTGAAAGCACAGTAGTAAAGACCTCTTTCATGATCCCTTCCCTCACATATAATAGATCTCTGAGTCTTAAAGATCCTGCTTCCTAGAGAATTCTTGAATCTGTGCATTTCAAGATAAGCCATGCTCCTGTCTTGGGACAGCAGTTGCTCCCTCTTTTATTCAATCTTGTCACTTCTAGTCATTCCTTCATACTGGAATTTGAAGTGATCCCATTTGAAAAAGTGAATCTGATCATGTGCTCAAAAAAATGTTGATTGGCTGCACATTATGAGCCTCAAGGATTATTTTCATTTTTTGATATAGACTGGTGTGTGTTTTATATTCAGATTTGAATATGAATTTGTAGGGTTTAAGTGAAAATAATTAAGTTTATTATTTATGTTGAATTTGAAAATTTATAGGTTACCTCCACGTTACCTTACTTAATCTTCAGAACACCACCAAGTTAATTTATATTATTAGTTTTATAATGAGAAATTGCCTATACAGCATGATGTCCATAGTTGATAACACTGTGTTACATGTTTGGAAGTTACTAACAGAGTAGATCTTTAAAGTTCTCATTACAAGTAAAATAAAATTTGTAACTATATATGGTAGTGGATGTTTACTAGATTTATTGTCCATGATCATTTTGCAATATGTACAAATATTGAATCATGTTGTACACCTGAAACTAATGTTATATGTCAATTATATCTCAATTGAAGGAAAAAAACAGAAGAAAAAAAAAAAAGAAAGAAAATTGAGTTTAAAGTTGCATAGCTAACAAGAGGCAAGGCTCAGAACGCCTGACTGCTATGTACAATGTTAATCTGAGTAAATGGTTACTTAGAGATGCAGGAGAGATACTTTTCGACTTCTTGGTTTTTATAGTTTCTATTTGCAACCACAAGGAGAACTGTACTGGGGAGCTTTTGTGAATATAGCCCAACAGTTCTTCAAGGGAGAAGGGATTGAAAAAATCAGTTACTCTTTCTATCAACTTCTTCCAATCCATCCTATATACTGGATACGGTTGTTAGATTATAGATCACATGTTTTAAAATGTGGATTTTATATACAATTATGGCTTGCAAATCTAAGTAATATGAGGGTGTCTGCAAGTTCCAGTATTATAGTACTTTATTAATTATGATAAACCACAATCATGTTTTGACTAGTAAAGTATCACAAAGTACCCACGTCATTGGTCTTTATGAGTGATGTCAGTAGTTGTAGCAGCAAAATGCCTGGCCCACAGTAGGCACTTAGTATTTGTTATTGAATGAGTTAGGTCGTATTCAGTTAGGTTGTATATAAATAATAAAGACATTTATCATCCTGTTGGATCAGAAATCTGGTGTCACGCAGTTCTGTAGCTCTGTGAAGCCTTTAGGGAACTGTGTATGCTCTTTGCATCTCTCTGCTTTGCAGTCCTCAGCATGGATTGAGTTATGACTACACTCAATAATTGACTTCACCTCAACCTATTAGGAGATCATATATGATCTCTCGTATGTTTATAGCTTCCAAATAATATATGATATATAAATATAAATCATTTAGCAAACTTACTAAGAGTCTAGTTGGGCTCAATTATATATTGTGTTGAGTATTTGTTTCATTTATTGGAAGTTTCTTGATGAGGGTGCATTGATGATGCTAGACCTATAATCAGTGAGTAATTTTGATGTATTTTGGATTTGTATATTGTTTGTGTAAATTAATTTTCTATGGGGAGACTAGGAAGACTTAGGAAATAAGTTGTTTATCTCTGCAAGGATTTCTCAACCTCTAGTGCTGTTGACATTTTGGGCCAGTAATTCTTTGTTGTAGGGGTTTCCTGTGTTTTGTAGTATGTTTACCAGTATCCCTGACCCCTACCCACTAGAATCCAGTAACATCTCCCATGTGTGGCAACCAGATATTTCCAGACATTGACAAGTGTCCCCCAGGGAACATAATTGCTACTCCTCCTCCCTCTAGTTGAGAACCACAGAGCTTTACCAAAAGTCTAATTTTTATTTTGAAAACTGTTTATCCAGAGTTTGAGAGAATCCAGGAAATAGATACAAAACAACAACTACCTTGGTTCTGTAGAAATTGTGCTGTTTTAAGTAGATATTTTATAAGTAGGGAAGAAAAGATTTTGGTTTAGGAGCCTATTTAACATTCTGGGGGAAAAAATCTTGTGACTAGTTGTATTAACTGTAGATACACTTAGTTTTAGACATTGATAAATTACTTTTATTTTTTTCCCCCAGGATATTATGACAACACCATATTTCATAGGGTGGTACCTGGTTTTATAGTCCAAGGGGGAGATCCTACTGGCACAGGGACTGGTGGAGAGTCTGTCTATGGAGCCCCGTTCAAGGTGAGACTGAATTTTTATTATTATTAATTTTCAAGTCAGCTTGGATTGCTTAATCGAAAATGATTGCGTCCTACAAGAAGAAAATGCATTTTACATCAGTGCACAAAATCAGGGTTATTACACATTTAGGACTAAACAGAGTAAGAGCAGCACTTAGACCTTGTCAAGCTTTCTCTCTCATTTGTCTTATCACAAACTTTCATGCTAGATTGAATTCAGGTAAAGTTAAAAGTGGTAGTAAGGAAAATATGAGTCAGAAAAAAGGCTATAAAACGTATATCCGACTGTGTCTGATCTCTGCAGCTCTTAGAACATTGCATATGCCATCCTATTTTCAAACATTTTTTTTAACACTATATAGAATTTATATTGAACTGCTATAACAAAACACATCTGACCAGGTAGCTTAAACAACAGGAATTTACTTCTTGCAGTTCTGGAGTCTAGGAAGTCCAAGATCAAGGTGCTGACATTCAGTACCTGGTGAAGGTTCTCCTCCTGGCTTGCAAATGGCTGCCTTCTTGTTGTGTCCTCACATGGTAGAGAGAGATCGCTCCGGTGTCTTCCTCCTCTTATAAGGGCACCAGCCCTATTGGATTAAGACTTCACCCTTACAAAGTCGTTTAGTCTTTTTCATCTCCTTATAGGCCCTATCTCCAGTACAGTCACATTGGGCTTGAGCGCTTCAACATATGAACTTTGTGCGGACACAATTCAGTCCATAGCAGAATTCATTATAAATCGTACACATAAACCTTTGTAGCACAGAATGCATGCCATAACAAGAAATCACAAGGGGAACCAGAAGATAGAAGCAACATAAAAAATGTTAGAAAAGGGTGTGAATTTTAATCAAGAGAGGTCAATGCTTTGTTAGCTGCCGACATAGATCTAAAAACAAAAAAAAGAGTTAATGTCATAGTTAAGATATTAAAAAGGGTTCAAGTAAAAGCTAAAGGACACGTTACTTATTAATCTGTTGTTACCAATATTATGTTTTTTGAATGAATAAACATCAATAACTCTTAAAATATGGGAATTTTGGCAAACTTCACATTTATACTAATGGGATAGAGTATCTGGAGTATCCTTTAATTTTATGGTAGGTTACTGTATGATTCTTGAGAAAAATGCTTGAACTGTTTGCTTTAACTTTCAGATGATAATGGCCTTAGAGCATGTGAAATGATTATTTTAAAAAGTCTCAAATGTCATTGTTAGACTATTTTATATTTAAAAAATTGAGATATCTCATTATTTTAGATTCTTCATCTAGTATGATGCACTCCTTTATTATTTGGTGTAACAGAATAGATCTTTGTGATAATTTCTTTCTAAACTGAGATTTTTGCTTATTATGTTTAGGTCATACAATCATCTCGGTAAGTTTTTCAATTAAGTTATTTTTATACAATATACAAAGTTATGGTCCTTTGAATTCAAATATCTTGAGAATTTATTAAGGAAAAAGAATTTCCTTTCTGAAAAGCATTGATTACATAATATGGCTATATTATAAATGAGTCTAGTCATTTCAGGTCTTGATAGAAATTCGATTAACTAAGACTAATGTACATGTTATGTAGCCCCACCACAGCAAGAAAACTACCTTAGAAGGGCTTACTCCTGCTCTTTTGAAAACTGGCAAATGGGACCAGTGCCAGTTCAGAGAAGATTTAACTTAAGACTTTAAAAAACACAGTAAAGCACATAACACAATCATACTAGAGTCCTTGAATTAAAAAATAAGAAAACAATTGTTTCATGACATTTAGAATGGGTTTGGGAAGGAAATAGTTGAAGACTCTGCAGTGATTCAAAACTAATTATCCTAGAGGAAAAGTAGAAGGTCCTAAAAGCTTAGATGGCTTTGGCAGATGGGAAGAATAGGAGAATTAATTTTAGAAATCCATTACCGTGGAGTACCCTTCCTCTGTGTAAATAGGCAGATTTCCACAAAATAGGCTAAATTTGAGATGAGTATATTTAGAGGATTCTTACAGGTTAGTGAAGTCAAATTTAATAGCATTGAAGGAACAACAGCTACTGGATTTGATTATATGTGAAAAATCAGTTAAGTAAAACTGAAGCGTTTTGGCTTAGAAGTTGTATGGGATCTTGCTTGTTAGATGAATATGAAGGGCCTTATAACTGAGGTCATTCACTAAATCTTCTTTTCTTTTTTTTTCAATGCTTCAGGATGAATTCCACTCACGGTTACGTTTTAATCGGAGAGGACTGGTTGCCATGGCAAATGCTGGCCCTCATGATAACGGCAGCCAGTTTTTCTTTACACTGGGTCGAGCAGATGAACTTAACAATAAGCACACCATCTTTGGAAAGGTTTGTGTTCCGTTATCTTAGGCTTCAGTGATATATATGATCAAGTTATCCAAGAGCTGCCTTCATAAAGATATTCCCTAGGGTATTTGTTTATTTCTAAAAATGATGGAATACTATATATTCTGGTTATAATGAATTCTGAGGGACCACCGGAGTTTGTATATGTGTGTTTCAAATACGTCATTGGTTGTAATTTTAACTTTTCTTTTTTCTAAAATCACATCAACAATATTATTAGCTACCGTGTCACTCAGCTGATATTGTTTTCACATTTTTAGAAAGACAGTTAGGTAATAACATTTAGTAGTTTAAAGTTTATTTTGTTAATAACAGATTTCCTTAAATTAAAATGGAAGTTGTGTTAACATTAAAACTTTTTACCCAAAATATAACTTTGAATAGTACCTATTTAATCCTGCTGACATTTAACATCGTATCAGGGAACGTTATTTTCATAGAATTTTCAGTAGTTTTCTTTAAAAGGGATTCTGAAGTTTTTTTGTTTGTTTTTGGTTTCGGGGTTTTTGGTCACATTTCTCCCTTTTCTTAAATATATTCCCGTTTGAAGACTTACGCATGTTAGACATCACTAGTGTATTGGCTCCCTCTGCTGGTTCAGTAAGAATGGTTTCCCCAGATCCTAGTCAAAACTGGATCTTATGAATATGAAAGGGAAAACACAAACTTAGCACAACTGGAAAACTGGTATCATTTTAGAACTTTTGAGAAATGTTGAATGAAAGGAGTCATGCCAAAAGCATGCAATACAATATCGTTGCTTAATATGTAAGCACATGGATTAAGAAATGCATGGGCATATTTGAGCCACTCCAACACGGTTGTCTGTTCATAGATTTTCCTTTCTATTATTTAAAAAGAATAAAAATAAAACGAGATTTAGGTTTCCATTGTGCACCATTGTTTACAATTGATGTTGTATAACTCACACATTAGAGACAAAGTATCGCATGGTGGTTAGAAGTCAGAAAGGCCATGACTGTTGGCTCTATAACTTCTAGAATCCTCGATTTTCTTACCTGGAGAAGGAAGATAATGATAGTGTCTACTTTTAGGATATTTGTGAAGATTAAATGGGATAATGTCTGCAAAGCACTTACCACATTGTAATTGTTATTTCCTTGTTATACCATATTCTGAAGTCTAAATTTATTTATAATGTTTGAACAAAAAGTAGTCATTCAGAAGGAGGTTATTTGGCATTATGTTTTTTGTTTTACTTTATGTTTTTTTTTCAGATTGTTTGTGGGGTGGGTAATTAGGTTCATTTATTTATTTATTTTAATGGAGGTACTGGGATTGAACCCAGGACCTTGTGCATGCTAGGCATGTGCTCTACCACTGAGCTCTACCCTGCCCCTCCACTATATTTTTATTTTTAATAAAATTGATACTAAGTATATATTGGAAATTTCCCAAAAATCTTACTGAGGGATTAAACTTCATCAATGCCTTTTCCTCTTAAGATGACATTGCTCTATTTACACTATTTAATACATGTATTCATATAATAATATGAAATTCTCTTTTTAATTATTTAAAAATACTTTCAGAAAGCTTTCCTTATTTCAAAGAATGAATTTAATAATTTGCAATTAAATCTTCCTTTTTATTTGATAGGTTACGGGGGATACAATATATAACATGCTGCGACTGACAGAAGTAGACATTGATGACGAAGACAGACCACATAATCCACACAAAATAAAAAGCTGTGAGGTAGAAACATGATTATTATGAGATATATTACTTAAATTATCACTTAAGAGAAATTGGTTATTTGCATTATTAAATTATCAGATATAGGCTTAATAATAAATTCACATCATGGCTCAGGTTTTATCTATGTAATTTAGGCACAATTGATGGCTAAGAATTTTGTTTAATTGAAGGTTTTGAATTCAAGGATGAAACTTTAGCTGATAATTCAATGAATGGGAAGCTCAACTCATAATAGAAAGTTGGATGAATTAGGTTTATTTAGCCCAATGAAGTGATTTCTTAGGTAATTTAAGTGATCCTTCATTGAGGAAGCAAGAACCATAGAGCATCTGATTTGTAGTCAAAATACCTGAGTCTGTCTCTCTTGTTATGTATTATGCCTTCTTGACTGTTTTCCCCTTTTTTAAGATAGGGATAAAACATCTTTTAGTAGCACATTGGATTACTGGGAAAATACAATGAGGCCATGGAAATGGAGGCACTTTTTCTAGTATATATATATCACTACAGTTATAATGGTTATGTGAGGAAAAATTATAGACACTAATAGCAACATAATTAAATATTGATTTTAATTTTTTGTGAAATTAAAAAAAATTGAATAATGTTTTCAAAATATTTCTTTTCATAGGTTTTGTTTAATCCTTTTGATGACATCACTCCAAGAGAAACAAAAAGGCCAAAAAGAGACAAACCAGACGAAGAAGTAAAGAGATTGAGACCCAAAGGCACAAAGTAATCATAGTAGAAACATTTTGACTCAGCTTGAAAAGCAACACTGATTCATTTAGTTCACTTTATTTCCTTTTGTCACAATTGTTTATTAGTGAAGGGGAGGCAAATTTGGACTGAGGGATAATATCTATATGAATGTCTTTTGTGTGCGTGTATCTTTTTTCCCCTAAATGTGCATTTCTTGTATTCAGATACCATATATAACTTTAAAAACTTAAGCTAAAAAATTATTACATTATTTTACTCCCCCTTTTTTGGTGCTATTAAAAATAATCTTATTGTAAATATTTAAAAAAATTAAGCCATTTCTGTATTCTGGATTATTTCCTGAGGATAGTTTTCTCAAAAAAATAGAAATTTCTTTAATATATTTCAGTATTTTGTGAACAAATTCTTTACATTATTAATTTTGTCCATTTTGTGGAAATAGACATCAGAGATTTCAACCTACTCTTTTACTGAATTGTAACATCTGTATTAGGGATTTTTTTTGTATTTGTAAGTGTTAGATTCAGACAGCTTTAAGTATAATCCTGCCTACCCCAGTTATAAGAAGCAAAGTTTATTAATCTTTCTGAGCTTCAGTTTCCCCATCTTATAAAACAGAAGATTTATAATACAACACCTGGTTCTTATGAAGATTAAATGAGGAGAATTTGAAAAAACCCAATAGTGTAGGTATTCAATACATATTCGTTTCTTTCCTTGACGTCCTACAATGTAAATAAGTTAAGTTGCTTTTATAAACTGTCAAATGTGAGCCAGACATTTTAATAAGCAGTAGATATCTTGTGGCAAAATAACATATAGCTTTATATTTGATTTCCTTTTGTTTTTTATTCATTTATTTTAACTAATTTATCTCTGAGAGAAAGGTCACTGTCACTATATTCAGATACAATATTTCATTATTATGATTTATCTTGATAAGTGCAAAAATTGGGTGTTTTTATTTTTGTTTTTAATGTGTAGCAAATATATTAGGGATGATGTGGTAGTCATTGATTGCATCTAGGTTATGAAATGAAAATTCCTCTTCTGTTGCCAAGTCTTTTATTTTTCCAGTATTTGAGAAGAGAGTTTTAATAACTTATTATTTATCTTCCTTATGATGCTTTAGTTTGAAGACTCAAAAAAAGATAAAACTTAGTTTTTTCTTACCATGGGATTTTTTTTTTTAGCTAAGTGTATTGCTTGTTTTTATATTTGATAATTTTTTATGACTTATTAATTTTAAAATATTAAGATTATTTTGGCAGACACAAGATTAATTGCTTCCCATTTCTAGTGCTCTCAGTGCTATATGTTTATTAGTTTTTCAGAAATCCCCATTTTGCTAACCAGTTTTAATAAAAATTAAAAGCTTTCATTATTTCTGTCATGCTTGACTCAGTGTATTTAATGGTAGTACTAAGGATGAATTTTTGATCATTAGTCTATGAAGCATCTGTGATCTGGGCCAAACACTTAATATTATGCTAAAAATATAGAAATATAGATCCTTAGTATATTTTATTTCCCCTGAATACTAAGTAATATTGTCTATTGATAGATTGTGTTTCTTCTTATAAATTCCATTCTGTTGCTTTGAAAATAGGATATGTATAAGATCTGTTTAACTTTTTCTTCCTAATTTTGTTTTTTTCGTTTTTTTTCTTTCTTCTTTCTTTCTTTTTTTTTTTGATTAGGAATTTTAGTTTACTTTCATTTGGAGAGGAAGCCGAGGAAGAAGAGGAGGAAGTAAATCGAGTTAGTCAGGTAAAAGTCTTAATTTGCCCTTTGTTCTGAATGTTGAAGGAGATTCAGATCTGTGTCTCACTTATTTTTGTATCTCCTGCTATAAATAGCACAGCATGTTTTACATAGTACACATTCTGTAAATGTCCATTGAACTGATTAGTAAAATGATTTGTTGTTTCTAATATTTACAACTTCTGAGATGATTTGCCCTCCTAAAATTATAGTTTTTTAAAAAAATCTGGCATTTTTTAATCAGAACCAGAGTTAAAGAATGATTCAATTTTATGATTCAGATTTTAATTGTTATTGGTTTAATTGGTTTGATGGATAATAATAATTATTATCATTACTATAATAAACAGTGACAAGCAAAAGTTCTTATATTCATTTTAATATCATTTATATATATTTAATTCATTTTATTCTCAGTGCAGTCCTTTAAGATAGGTATTATCATTCCCATTTTACCTATGAATAAATGAAGGTGTTGATAGGTTATAATTTGCTCAAAGTCTCACTGCTAGTAAGTTGCTAGAGCTGGGATTTGAACTTATAAACTTAGGTCAGTCTCACTTTGAAGTCCATGTCTTTGGAGTATACATTGCCTCTTTGCCTTTTACCCCACCATGCTTCCCACAGGCCTTTAAATATGGTTTTCCTCAGTATTACTTTTATCACAAAGCTAATTTTTGAAACACATACAGTGCTCTACAGTTGTTTAGAGCAGTGATTCTGATAAATATGTCCGAAGAAAATCATCTTCAAGGGTTTTTACTCCCCCAAATTTTGATGTCTTTCTTTCTTGAAAATTAGTGAACTCTGAGACCTAAAGGATGAGGTTCAAAGGCTTTATTATAGTCTATAATTACAAGTTCATAACCTAGTACTGCTTTACTTGCTTAACATAGTCACCTGTTTCTCACTGACACTAACAGTAGCATTGACCAAGAAGCACATTGTTGTCGCCCTTGTATTTACTTCTTTATCCGTTTGCCTCCCTCATCACTGAGCCTGGTTTTGGTAGTCTAATATTGGGCATATAGGAGCGCTCTTCCTTGCATTAAAACTGAATTAAAATGGGCACGTGTAAGAAATATTTTGGTCACAATTTTATTTTTCTCTGTCTTCAGTATCCTTTATTGATCTATTTGATACCATGGATTCAATTACCACCTGTATACTAACATTCTGAGATCTAGCAGACAAGGCCAGATATTTTTTCTAGGCTCCTATCCCACATTCTGAGTTGCCTTTAGGAAACGTCTCTTATTTTATTTTATTTAAAAAAATGTTTTTAATTGAAATATAGTTGATGTATAGTATTATATAAGTTACAGGAATACAGTATAGTGATTCACAATTTTCAAAGTTTATACTTTATTTATAGTTATTATATAATACTGGCTATATTCCTATGTTGTATATTATATCTTTATAGCTTATTATATGTAATACTTTTTCCCTCTTAATCCTCCACCTCTATATTGCCCCTCCGCATTGGTAACCATTAACTTGTTCTCTATATCTGAGAGTCTGTTTATTTTTTGTTATGTTCACTAGTTTCTTACATTTTTAGATTCCACATATAAGTGATATCATACAGTATTTGTATTTGTCTTATTTCACTTAGCATAATACCCTCTAAGTCCATCCATGTTGTTGCAAATGGCTAATTTTCCTTCTTTTTTATGGCTGAGTAATATTTCTCTCTCTGTGTGTGTGCGTGTGTGTGTGTGTGTGTGTGTGTGTGTATTACGTCTTTCTCCATTCATCTGTTGAGGGACATCTAAATTGCCTTTGTATCTTGGCAATTGTAAAAATGCTGTTATGAACATTGGGGTTCATGTATTTTTTGAATTAGTGTTTTGAAACATCTCTATTTTAGGTGTCAAAATTAAATTAATCTTTCTATGAAAACCTCCTTTTACTATTCCTTCTCAGCATCATCACTGTGTCACCCCCGGTATCTCAGAAGTCATCTTCTTTAGATGTCAGTGTACTAGTCTTACATTATTTGTGATTCAAATTTGTCCCTTAATGAAAATGAAAGATTTACTATGTATCATGATCCTGTGGGTATATTTGTAAATGGAAAAAACCACGAATGTTAGATCTGGGAATTGTCAAGTTTCCCTTTGATGTTTTCTAAAGATGTCAAGTTCCCTTGCATATCCATGCCTTCCCCTGAGTCCATCCACCCCTGTTTTTTCTTTTGCTTGAAAAAGCGAATTTGGCTAATTCTTGTGTTTCCTTTTAAGATTTAGCTCCATTATTAACTCCTCACTACGTCTACCTCCCTCCCCTACCCCCAACTTCCACTCAGGCTGAGCTTAACTTCTTTCCATAATAATCTGTCTGTGGCCATCAAAGCACTTATACTACATTATCATGATTTCTTTTTTTTTTTACCTCCTCCCTGTGCTAAGTATTTATTTTGTATTATCTCTATCGCAACCATGTGGTATAGATATTATTATTCCTGTTTTGTAAGTGAAGGTATCAATGCTGAGATGTCAAGTTCCTTGACCAAGACCATGTAATTAGGAGGTCGTAGAATCAGAATTTTGAACTTAAGTTTCTATAGCTATTAAAGTCTCTATCTAATGTGCTTTTGAATACTGCAGAAACTGTCTCCTTCAAGCCCAACCTATCTAAAAGGCTGGCAAGAAATTCCACTGGCAGCACAGCATTCTGGGGTGAAGGGCAGCTCAGTGCAGTTGGCCCACTGCTCTTCCCTACCTCCCAGAGGGCCCTACATAGTATGAGGTTGAGCAGCCTTGGAGAACAAGGGTGGGCGAAAGGAATTTTTCTATCAATCTTTTTGTTGAATTAAATTTCTGGTCTAAAATAAGTTTTGTTCACAATTGCTCTGAGATGGACTTTTCTCGGAAATTTAGTTTGAATTTTTTCTGTTTGCAACAACAGCGTGTGTTAAATGTTTAAGGCTTATCTTCCTCCTGCGACTTAATTTTGCACAAAATAAAGAAAAAATGGTTAACTTATACTGAATACAGTGAACTTGATACTCCAAAAGCAATTTGTGTTTGCTACAAGGTTAAAATGTGGAAGATACCACCATAGATATTTCTAGCATGCTCTTTACGTTTGCTCTGAAACCTGGAAAACACTTTAAACAGTAGAAAGACCAAGTAAATTCTTTCCTCTTTGCCAAGAACATTGCAACCAAAAGTCCATTATCAAATAGGTGGTCTAAGCCTACTGTGTGTCATCACATTTCTCTCATCTGAGTTTTTAATTGATGGTGCTGTGTGATAAAATTATCACGTTTGTTTGTGACCCTCAAATCTGTATCTCTAGGCTGACTTTTCTTTTATCTAGCTGCCTACTGGACATCTCTCTGTTTGATGTCTCACTAGTTACCTAAGCCTTAGCCAAAGCTTAATTTATTATCTTTTCTTCCTAAACTTCTCCCTGTTCTGTGACTTCTCTTTCTAATTCCCTGATACCAGTGTCCCTTGAAGAATGTTAGATTAAGTTCGAACTTTTTTCTTATCTTTTCCTTGCACAACCAGTTAGCTGCATTGTTCTTACCAATTTTTCATCTATGCTGTGTCTCAAATCTATTTTTTCCTTTTAATTTATTTCGCTACTACCCTTGTTCAGGCCTTCATTATCTCTAGCCTGGGCTGCTGCCATGGACTACAGACTGGTCTCCCATCTCCCTTCTCTTTTTCCCCCTTCCACTTGTTATTATCAGAATAAATTCCTGAAGTCTCATTAAGATGTTAAAGTTGCTTTCTGTTGTCTGTAGAAATAAGGCCAAATTCCTTGGCCTATTATTTCAAGCTTCTGCTTTCATGATTAACTCTGTCCTTTAGTCTAATATTTCTTAAACTTCCCTACTGATAAAAATCACTTGTAGTAATTTTTAAAAACTTATATTCCTAGTTCCCATCTCAGACCTACTGAATCAGAATCTCTAAGGAAGAGACCAGGGAATCTATACATGTAGTGAATTCCCTGGAAACCTTATCTGGGGGCTGTAGGAAACACTGTCAGCAGATCTGAACTACTTGCTGTTCTACAAATACGCCTTGTGTTTTCCTTATTGTATGTCTTTGTTCATGTCCTTTTCCCTGCGAAGTGTGCCGTCCCACTTCTGAATATCAATGTCATATTTATTTTCAACACCTAGAATACTATCTTTTCTAAATGACTTTTCCAGTTTTCCCTAATCTTTTCTTTTTCTGATCTAACTTCTGCCTTTCTTGTGATACTTATATTTTCCTTTTGAAAGCATTCTTTTAACTTTATTACGTGGAAGCATATGCCTATGTTCTCATAGTATACTATTCAAGGTTTATACCCTTTTCTAACTCATTAATTATATAGGGTCCTAGCCTGTGAGCTCCTTGATGGTAAACTTTGTGTCATCTTTGAGTGGCGGTGTGTTGAAGTAAAAATAGCATGGATTTGGGATCATACAAACTCATATTGGCACTTCACTTTCTATAGACACTCTGTGACCTTGGATAACTTAGTCTCTCTGAGCCTCCATTTTCCTCTTTGTGACATGGGAGTAACATGTACCATTTAGAGCTGTGAAATAAATAAATGGTTAGTCCTTACTTTGATACATCATGCGATCCTAAAAAGCAGTTTTGAAAGTCAAACGTCTTAAAATAAACAATATACTCTATGTTATAATTTGTACTTTATTCTCAGAGAGCTAAAGAATATTGGCCACTAATATGATCATGATCATCATGCAGCAGCTGCTGCCCTCATGCTCAGGTAGTCTAGAGGGCTGGTGAGAAACTTCCGCAGTAGTCCAGCTTTCTGAGGTAGGAAGCCGTAAGCTCAGCACAGCTGGCCTAGTGCCCTTCCTGAGCACTCCCACAGGGTCCTGAGAAGTAGCCTGAGCAGTCTTGGAGAGGATGGGTGTACACCTGTACATCGTGACCCACCAGCAACCCACTCTTCATGTACGATTGGGTCTTGGAACACCATGCAGATGGCCTGCAGAATTTAGCTGTTCTGTGTGTTTATATAATGGA